ACTTCTGCATTTCTATAGAGACCATGTCTATAGGTCATTTCTGAAATGCTGCATATCATATAGATAATATGCCTATAGGACTTCCTGAATTTTGCATCTGCATCTGTCACTAGGCAAACCTGTTTATAGGTTTAAATAACTAACAACATTTTAGATACCATGCCTATAGGACTTCTGCACTCTTGTTTCGATTAAAAAAATATTTTAAATCAGTAACGCCTAGAAAGCATGCCTATAGGAACCATCAACTAAATCTGAATCCTCCATTCGCTTATGAGTCTAAAACCAGTAGCAACAATAACGACTGCAGAATTTATATTCCTGTAATTGACAATTTCTTTCCCTTAAAATCAATTTACTTCTTTTCTGAAACTAATAGATATCATGCCTATAGGTTTTCGTTTAACACTTAGGCAAGCCATAGGGTAACTTGTAAATTGAATCAAATTCTATTAACTACAACCAGCAAGCAGGCCTGATTCGGGCTTCTTATCTGAAATATGTAATAAATCAGTTTGCCACAACTCTTAAGTTTAATCAGACCCTAATCAGTACGTGTAAGACATGCTAAACTATATGTTTCACTTTGTTTTAAGGAGGTCTGTTTAAGCCTTTCTATCGGTTATGTGCTTCTCCCCAAATTTGCTATATATGTGTTTTGATTGTCGCCTTAGAATTTTGTCCTTTGAAACTATAAAACTTCACACCCCTTCCCTTTAGGATTAGTAGTCCCAAATACCTCCGGGCCTGATAGGATTGGGGCGGGTAATAGCATGCAATAAGTAAAACGAGACCATTCCGCGTTTAATACCTTTTCGGGGTGGGAAAGGGTAGATATAGATATGACGACCACGCGATAACACCACGTGTATAAACGGTTACCGAGGTGATCCATATTATTTATAAACCTAGGACCCTCCTCCCTTTACTCGTTTATTTTATTGAGAATTTCAAAACTGCTTCTTCTCAAATTCCAGCTTCTTTAACTTCTTTTAACTGCAATTACTTGCAACAATTATGTGAAAACCCCTCCCCCCCTCATATTTATAACTCCTATTTGTCTATTTGTTGTTTGCACTTAAAGTCACAATTATAGTATGGACGGGAACCACACTAGTGGATCTCGAGGGGTGCCTAACACCTTTCCCTCGGGATAATTTCAAGCCCTTACCCAATCTCTGGTTTTCTAAATCAAAATTCTTCTTAGTATCCTAATGCACTTAATCATTAGGTGGCGACTCTTCAATTCAAACCCAATTCCCAAAAGAAAACGAGTTGTCCTCCCAAATGTCATAAACCCGATTTCGCGAGAAAAAGGGGGCATCGACACTCTGGAGGTGCTTCCACTTGAGGCCGACCCAATTTCCACTACTGATCAGGAGATCCATGTCAATATCCAGGTTAGAGGAACATCATGCTGTTGGCTTTTATCCTTGGTTTATGCAAGTACGAATCTAGCTAATAGAAAAATCTTATGGAATAACCTAGAAACTATAGCTAAAAATCATACTATGTCATGGCTTCTTTGTGGGGATTTTAATGAAGTAACAACATCTTCTTCCAAAAAGTTTGGAGGAAGGCCAATAAATAATTCTAAAACTGCTGTCTTTCTACAGTGCCTAGACAATATCAATATGATTGACCTAGGGTTCATGAAACCCAAGTTCACGTGGACAAATAAAAGGAAAAAAAGGGGCCACCAAATCCTGGAACGGCTAGACCGCTTCCTTGCCAACCCGGACTGGGTAGGGACATAACCAGATGTGGTTATGTCTCATTTGCCACGCACGTACTCTGATCATTGTCCCGTCATCTTGAACTTAACAAAACCTATGAATAAATCCGCCCACATATTCCGCTTTGAAACAATGTGGCTAAACCACCCTGATTTTAACAATATAGTTAACTATCATTGGTCAAACAATAAATGCTACAGGAATGACATATCATCCTTTACGGAACATATGGAGACATGAAACAAGAGCACCTTTGTAAATATCTTCAAAAAGAAACAAACATTACAAAATAGAATATTAGGTATCCAAAATATGCATCCTACCCACAAAAGAAACTTTGACGTAGACCTTGAGGAATAAGTTATTTGCGAATATAATGGAATTCTAAAAAATGAAGAGGACGTTTGTAAATTAAAATCTAGAGTCCAATGGCTAAATGACGGATATACCAATACTAAATTTTTCCACGTGTTGTCCATCCAACGAAGCAGGAAAAATAGAATCATAGGGCTCAATGACTCTGTAGCCAACTGAACTTTTGACCTGCAGAATATACGGAGCATAATCTTAAACCACTTTACAGACATTTACACTAATGAATTACCCTTTTTTCCTAGACATGTTACCCATAATCCATGCACTCTCAATATCCTCAGTGACAGAGATAAAGAATTTCTTAGTAGAGATCTAAATACCCTTAAAATTCACAAAGCAATAAAGTCTTTTAAGCCACTCAAAGCACCCGGACCAGATGGTATTCACCAAATTTTTTTCCAGAAATATTGGGCGGACACAAGTCCCTCAATTAACAACACATGCTCACAAAATTTCCAAACCCCTACAATTGACCCTCAAATAAATAAGATATACGTATCTCTCACCCCTAAGATAAAAAAATCCACAATACATCTCCCACCATAGACCTATTAGCCTTTGCAATACGATCTACATGACAATTACAAAAATTATTGTTAATAGGATACACCCTTCCTTAACAAAATAATTAGCCCTGATCAGTGCAGGTTCATTCTGCGAAGACGTGCTATTGATAATGCAATAATAGTTGAGGAAGCTAATCACTCATTTAAAAAGAATTCAGGAGGCAACGGGAAAATGATGCTTAAACTAGACTTAGAAAAATCATTTGATCGCCTGGAATGATCGTTTATTCGGAACTCCATACATTCCCTCAACTTTCCTGTCAAATTGATCATACTAATTATGAACTGCATCTCAACATCATCTACCTCTATCATAGCCAATGGTCAATCGACAGATTTCTTTGAACCCTCTCGTGGCATACGCCAAGGGGACCCATTGTCACCGTATCTCTTAATCATCTGTATGCAATCAGTTACTAGGTACATTGACCATGCCGTTGAATTTTGTCAATGGAAACCTATAAAAATTAGTCGATCAGGACCCCCCATATCCCACCTCCTATTCGCAGATGACTTTATCCTCTTCTCTGAGGCAAATGCAACTAGTGATGCCTCTATCATAAACATCTTCAACTCAATTACCCAATAATCTGGTCAGTGGATAAACTTCACAAAATCAAAATTCTTTTCTCAAAGAATGTGGATAGCAACATCCAGAGCACGCTCTCCACAATGCTAAACATTAAGGCAGCAAACCATGTAGGGAAGTATCTGGGCTTCCCAATTACCAATCTACAACCAAAAGCTATGACTATCAATTTATGCTTGATAGAATGAATATAAGACTAAAAGGCTTGAAAGCAAAGCTCCTAATCCAAGCAGGAACAACCACCTTTATTCAGTATGTTGTGGAAGCTATACCAACACATTCAATGCAACTCAATTACCTACCTACGTCTACCAGAAAACATATAGACCGTATTCAACGGGACTTCCTATGGTGATTAACTACAGAAAAAAGAAGGGGACACCTTGTTAATTGGGCTACTATAACATCCCCAAAACAAGAAGGAGGCTTGGATCTTTTCAGTTCCAAGAGCAAAAACCTAGCTCTCCTTTGCAATATCATTTGGCGCCTCCACTACAGCCCAAACAGCATACGGGCACAGATGGTGAGTCAAAAATATCTAGCAAGACAGGAACACAAATATTTCATCACAAACACAACTGATTCTTATATGTGGAAGATCCTTGCTAAAGCTCACCCCTTCTTTTGCAAAAGGATTAACTTGGAATGTGGCGAATGGCAACCATATCAATCTTTGGAATCATCGCCCGACTGCCTCTAAGGGCTCTCATTCAAGGTCCACTAACAAATGCAGATTTGGGGAAAAATCTCTCGCACATATTACAATTAAACTCTTGGGATCTAAGCCAGTTATCCTTTGAACTTCCTGCAGACATTCAGTCACTAATTCACAGCACCTATCTACCATCTTTGAAGCTGCCACATATAACTTCTTCTGGAAACCAACCACTGATGGCTCCTTCACTATCAAGTCAACCTACTCTTTAATCAGGCAATGCCTATCTACACAAACATCAAGGGATTTCGAACACACTTGGATATGGAAAGCCAACTGCCATAATAAACTGAAACACTTTCTGTGGCTTTTAATCATAAAACGCCTACCTACAACATCCATGCTATACTACAGAAAAATAATTTCATCCCCTTTTTGTCCCTACTGCAATATTGTGGAAGATACAGAACACATCTTCCTCCATTGCCCACGAAACAACACCATCTGAAACACACTGCATATAGACTTTGATCCACCAAATTTCAATACGTGGGGTAAAAGAACTATGTACTTCTAATGGCTCAACAATTCTACCAAACCAAATCCAAGTCCCATTGTCCATTATCACCCACATTACCCTATGACATATCTGGTTACACCGCAATAATAATTTGTTCAAAAAAACTTCCGCAACCATCACTAGCAACACACCAATTGCCCACGCAATTGAATACCTCTGCCTCACAAACCAAAAAGCAGCTCAACATCAAACCACAAGAATTCAAGTACGGTGGGAACCACCACAACCAAACACCTATAAACTCAATATAGATAGTGCACACAGAAAAAACTCCAAGTATAGGCCATTATACTAGTGTGACATGGAATTAAACCAAATAAGGAAGACAGGCACTTTTGGGCCATTGGTCTAGTGTTTCCAAAGATTATTGACAATCCGTATCAAGTGCATGCAGAGTGTTTGCTAATGACGATAATCTGGGATTTAACCACGACTGAACCAATTAGCAAACTTGCTAACCCCAAAAATAGAAAAGCTGAAAAAGTTAAACGAAAAGAAATAAAACCAAGAAAGGGCCGGGCATCCAAATTCAAATGATTGTAAGTTGTAACATTAACATTTGGGCATTTGAAAAAAAGTCACAAAAAGTTACTACTACAATAAAAATTTGTCTGTTTCTAATCAGCTTTAAGAGCTTCAAGCAATTTTGGCCGATTTTCAATTTTTCCAATGGCTGCTTTGAGCTCTTGCTGGAGAATAGACCTTGTAGGTAATAAAACCATGTCATTCCAAACTGAACCAGGCTGCGCTAATTCATCTTTTGGGTAGAGTTCGTATATTGACTCTGCTTCTTCATTCACATTTCTTACCATTTCTAAACATTTGATGTCTTCCGGTTCCACCAACATCTTATTCTCTCCATCTTTCCATGCTATTAACTGCATTTAAATTTCGACAAAAAGTCAACGGAAGAATAAATAAAGATGATATGATTGGACTATTTATTTTCTGGAAGGGTTAAGGTGACAGTAAAATAATTTTCAAGAGCCGAATAATGAAAATTCATAGGTGACATTCTTTCCCTTTTAAAGTAGGTATGAACTTATTTAAGCTTATCACTTTGAATTTACAAAAGATTTAAGTCATAGTGTAGTTTAACCAATTATAGCAATTTTCATTGAGTTACCGAGTTGATGCTTATCACATAGATTTACCTGTTTCTGATTGTGTTAGTGTGCGGCACTTAAATAAAGGTAAATCCTTAGAACTCCAAAAAAAATTTCAATTTCATCTAGGAATATGCATGTCTACAGTACGTTGCACGTACGAATGATGTTAGTAGAACAGACCGCAGCAAATACAATAGAGATAAGAATATTGTTACCGTTGGTTTGGAGCCTAAAACGTTGGTGCAGTAGAGTCTGGCGTTATCAACAATATCACAGTACTTAGGAAATGCATTTGCAAATCTCTTGTGAGATTTGAGTTGAGGCTTCACTCTAACTGCCCTCCCTGTTCCTATAGCTCTCCTGCATAAATATTTCACAAGGAATAAGATAAAAGAATAAATAACGTTAGGGAATTTACATCGAAATTACAACAAATCACATGTGTATCTTAATTAGAAGTAATCTATATATATATATATATATATATATATACCTGATGCCTCTAACAACAGCTAGGTAAGGATCACATACAACTCCCACCAATTCAATTCTGTAAGGTTTAGTGATGTTAGCCTCTTCTCCTTGTTCCTGTTCAGCTTGTTCCCAATAATTTTCAGTAACTGTCCCATCCTCTGCAACCTTGTAACCTTCCCCCATTCGATACCGATGTTTGTGTACATTTCTTGCCATGGCTATTGTCTGCTCAACAAATGGCACCCATGATAAGGTTCCATCCATTATAACATCGCGCCCTTCGTTAAGAGCTGTGACTAGGAGGGAAGATGCTGCATCTGTTGAATTTTGATGTACCTGTTTATATATTATGAACGTTAAATTCAAACATTAGTATATTAGTAATTCATATAAACACATTGACTAAGCATTCGTATAGAGTAAAAATTGTTGTTACCAATTCAGCAGTTTGAAGCATGTCGTGATGATGACCTCTTGAGCTAAGGGCTCTGTAAATTACATCAGTTTCCTTGAAAGCATCTGCCTCTACCACCACTGCATTTGCAGCTGCTTCGGACCAAAAAGACCTGCCAAAAACATTAGTCAAAATTTGTAAATGAATTGCAAAGAAAGGAAATTAAAATAGAGATGAAATTACTACTGTTTGAGGATGTCTTTGAGGACAGTGGATTTGCCGGCACCCATGCCGCCACCCATGAGGAGGAGCACTGGACTTCGTTGACTGTGAGCCACAGGGACCATAACGTCTGTACATTTGGAGTCCCCATTTGATGAAACTGTTCCAATTGCCTTCATCTCCTCTACCAGTGTAGAAAATACCCTTGTCACCTTCAACTCCTTTGTTATCTTCTCGAATCTCTGCTTCCTACAATCACCAATATTACTCAACATACACTTTTAGTGAATGGGAATCTTGATTAAGTTGGCAAAACTGGATCCACAATTTAAATTCTATGACTTCAATTTTTAAAGTTTTTGTTTCATATATATCTAATATTTTTGCAATTTTAATGAATTATTACATATAATCTTGATTACGCGTCCAAATTTATGGGTTCAATTGAACTTGTTACATATATATATATATATATATATATATATATATATATATATATATATATATATATATATATATATATATATTACATTCACCCCTGTCTATAGGTTACGGGTTCGAGTCGTAAAATCAGCTGTTAATACTTGCATCAGAGTAGGATGCCTACATCGTACCCCTCAAATCCTGCGTGAACGAGTAATACTTTGTGCATTTATAGACTTTTAATCTTACTACATGCAGTGATGAAATCAGATTTTCGTATCAATTTGGGTTGTACAAGACTACAAGGGTTTGGGGCTAGGAATTAATTAAACATTTTACTTTCTATCTTAAATTAATGTGTGTATTTACTTTATTTTTCAAGGCAGTTGTTATACGTACACATTGTTTTTCTAGAAGAACTATATATATAAAAAAATGGTGACATTACTTGGTTGGAAGTGTGTGCCATGAATTGAGCTAATCTAGTACGCCTCTTCATATCTATCAAATGAGTTAAGATTTTCCTTAATTTGTCATAGTTTTACTAAAAGTTGATATGCCTAATGCCATCTACCTCAAAGAAAAGAAATACTAGCTAGTAAAATAATCGTTTTGGAGGAGAGTCGCTGTCTTTACAAGTTGCAATCTCAATAAATGCCATCCCTTCTCTACATTTTTTCTATTCCATTATTTAAAACATGCCATATCTCAAAAAAGTTAGAAAAACAAGAAGAATACTTTTAACCAAATAACTACTGTATGCTTGAAGAAAATAGCAAAAAATTAAGATATTATATTATTTTGTACTAATAACTACTGTATTTATTTAAATCCTTAAATTTTTGTTTTCAGATTACATGAAAGTTTCAAACATGCTGTTTGGATTCTCAAACCCTCCTTTCAGATTGACCACACAAAATAAAATAAAAGTTTGATTTTTATAATGCCTTCTGTTAATATAACTCGTAAAATAAATGAAATTATTGTCTGAATAAGGTGAAATAGAATTGGTGGTCGTCGATTTCAAATCCCACCATGTAAGAGTATTGACAATAGGCCTAACAAAATTGACAGAAAATACTTCTGCTCGAAACAACAATCCAGCAGTATAATTTCCGTATCCCATTTTCTTCACCATTATTAATTTGTTTAAATAAAATGTAATAATACTACTCCAATAAAATATAGTAAAAGTTAAGTATTTCAAAATACGTTAACAAAATTGTGATAACAGCTTTATATTTAACTTTAATTTAAAGCAGACAATAACACGAAATCCAGGAAGAAAATACTATAATAATAATAATAATAATAATAATAATGTGATGTTCACTTATTTTAAAGTGAATGAAATAATCACCTTGTAGCTGCGAGCACCAAATCCTTGAGTCTTTTCTGATCAGAATCAACACTTAACACCTTCAACAAAAAAGACGTTGACCTTTAATTATTAGGTTGTGGTTTATCAAAAAAAAAAAAAAAATTGATATAATTTGATTTTCTCTATATATTTACAAAGAAAATGAAAAATGAACATCAATAGATAATATATACCTGACTAATGAAGAGAGAAGCTTTACTCCAATGGAAAGCAAAATAAGCAAGAATGCATCTCTCTAATTCATTCTCCAACTTTACATACAAAGATTCAGCATCTTCTTCATTAGCAAAGTATTCAAATATGGTATTATCACAACCTTTGGATCTCCTCAAATATTCTTGTACTAGCTCTCCTAAGCGAGGACACTCATTTTCATCTTTAAACCCCACTTGCCTTGCTACACAATATAAAAACCTTCAAATAATCAACAACATAAAATAGAAAAAATAAATAAATTAATCGAAAAGAACAAAGTACTGACCAACATAATGGGAAAACTTTTCGAGTTTACCACCACGACTAGATTCACTTCTGTCCAAAATAGGAGTAAGGAGATTTATATTTATTTGATCATTATCATCAACTTTGGAAGATTTGGATTTAGATTTAGAAGATTTGTGAAGATGCATGGCGAAAGCAGATATAATTCCCACCAGACTTGCAACCAATATATGTGAAGCAACCACTTTTCCATAGCTATCTGCATAAGAAAATTTATATATAAGAAACAGAAAAGACTTTTTGTAATCATATACAGACAACATATAGTGATGATATTTTGACAAAAGACGAGGTCAAAATTCAAACTTTAGAATTAATGGGAGAGAGGGAAGGGACTTAGTGGGTTACATTTCAGCATGTTTTGTTTCTGTAGAAGAAATAGTCTTTCAACAAAGAGTTGAACTTTCTTTCTTTCTTGGTTTCTGCCTTTTCAGTTTGGACTACTCTGAAATTTTTTTGGGGAATTAATGGAAGAGTGGATAAAATAGATATAAAGGCATTCTGCTTTTCAGAGTCAACTGATCCTTGGATGCTGCATATATATCTATATATTTATTTAAAGGTGAGGTGGTGGTGGACCTGAAAGAAATAAAATATGAATTTTATTTTCTAACTACCATAATATTCCAAGTTGCAACTACTACCATTTCACCATAAATTGACTACTCTCGTTTTTTCCATTATGATAGACCTTTATTTACTGACCACATGTAATTTATCGTAAAGTATACTTTAGATATTTGAGCACAATAAGCAAATATATATATTACAAGTAGTAGTAAGTACATGTTTCATTTTTATTAAATGTAGTATCAGGCAAGCTTGCACGTACCTCGATTAATTCTACGGTTTACTTGCTATCTCTCACCAAAAAAATTTATCAAGTAACTTTATCCACCAAAGCTTGAACATATGGGAAGAAATCACCCAATGTTTCTCGTCTTCTGAAACCTCATGGTCCCCAACCAACTTCATTTTGAAAAGACAAAAAAAACTACATTTAAAAGTCTTTGACGTTTGGCCAAAATGCTATATTTTTAGTACATTACTCGCCTTACATGTTCTTAGTTTAGTGATTAATTGTGCGACGTTTGAGCTAAATTATGTTGTTTTATGTGTAGTAGCATCGGAAGACAAGGACGAGTGAAAGTTGCACAAAAAGAGGACAAAAATACGAGAAAAGAGCACAAAAGCATGAAGTACTCAAGCCTGGCTATAGGCCAGGCGTAGCCAGCTCTGTAGCCAGCTTGGCCGTGCTGCAGGCTAGGCGTAGCCAGCTTGGCCGAGCTATAAGCCTGGCCTCACGAGGTCTGTAGCCCGATGGTCAAGAGTTTGCAAATTAAAATATTACGACCCGGATTTAGACTCAAGGACTTCAACCCTAGCCTATAAATATGCCCTAAACATGTTTAAAGGAGGGGGACGCTTTTTGAGAGGAGATTCGACCTAAGGAGGCAAGAACACACAAGGAGCAAGGCGGAGAATTCTTCTACGAGTTTTTCACTTTCTTCTTCTAATTTTTCATCATTGGTTATGAATATTAGTATTGTAGTTTTACATACTATTATGAATAGCTAATTTGTTATCTAGGATTTTGATGGAACCTTTTGTAGGATAAATTCTTGTTATATTTTTATATAATTGAGTTGTTGGATTTCTCTACTTGTTCAACTACGTGTTTATTGTTGTTGATTGAATGGCCATCAATTGACTGTGCCTATTTAGTGTGTATTGCTTGAAAAGAAGTACATATTTAGGTAGTTGTTGAACAATATTGATCCTAACGTATGTGAGGAACCAATACAGAGGGTTTAAATGTGGGATTAGGAATAATGAAACTTTGGTGCGATCTTAGTGAACGATGAATTAGTGTAAGCTAGCGTAGTTCGGAAGAATATGTCTAGTAAATTGTGGTAGTTGCTCGAAAGAGAATTACGACAACCGAAGTACTCACAATTGGTAGAGAATACTTAGGCGAAATTATAGAAGGCGTAGCGGGAAGGATTCTGGTAATTGGAAAAATCATAACTCTAGACCTCCTTAATCTTGTCTCCAACCCTTAGTCTTGTTAGTGGATAATTTTACTACTTTTAGTATTTGTTAATTAATTAGTTTAAAATAAAAATTACAATATTCATAACTAGAAACTTATTTGAACTTGTATTCTTAGCAATATTGAACAGTTGTAGCTAATTCATAGTTCTCTGTGGGATTCGACTCCGGACTTTTAGACCGAATTATATTTGTAGCGACCGCTTATCCTTTTTAGGACTAGAGTTGGGCGTGATAAAATTTGGCACCGTTGCCGGGGAACTAACGGTGTAGTTGTAGCTGTATATATTGCTAGGTTTCAAGTTTGAACTTTTACTTTATTTTGTATTATTCTTTTTAATTTTATTTTTTCTACTTGTTGATTTGAGAAATATGATATCTTGGAATTATAGGAGTTTAGGTGTTGGTAATTCTATTTTTGATCCTCATACATATTGTGAAGGAAACCACCCGTAGAAAATTTATCAAAATGTTCCAGAGAGCGAGTTATGTGCACCAACTCAATCTTATTTGTGGAATGTGTGTGATGTGTGCGGTGGTCAAAATGGTCACTTTCATGATTGTGCGTATATGTCTTATCCTCCCACAACCCCTTACTATGATGGTTCTACTTTTTCTTGTGAAGTTAATAGGAACAAAGAACCCGGGGATGATGACCTGAAAGAGATCAAGGATATACTAAGGTGCCTTGTTGAACAAAATAATGACACAAAATTATGGATACAAATGCAAGAGGCAACTATTCATAATTTGAAGGCTCAAGTGAGTCAAGTGGTAGAAGCTCTGAATGTTCGACAAGTCACTATAGTGGATAGTAGCCGAAAACAATGTGAATTAGAGTCAGCCGTTGATACTCTGATGGATGAGGTCATAGTAGAATACCAACAACCTAGCCAACTAGAATGTGAGGATGCCGATATTGAAGACGTGATACTAGAATCAGCCAAGGACAGTGAGAATAAAATTTTTGTTGATTCTAGTGTCATTGGTGTTGAGGATGTTGGAATTTCTGAAGTTTATGTATTTGAGCGCATTGGCCCTCACTCCAAGTATTTTCCACATTGTGTTTGGATGATAATATGGAAATAGAGTCATCCGAGCCAATGGAGAAGCATTTGAATGAGAAACAAGGTGTCTATATTCTGGAACTTTTCGTGCCAGAAAGTCAAGATTACACACCTCACATAAAGTCCCAGAAGTGCAGAATATTACATTATTTCCTTGGGCTAGTTAGATTTGGTCCACTATCCCAAAAGCACGATCATAAGCTTGAATCAAAATTTGGGGTTCAATTCATAAGCTCGAGATTGAGGCAGAAAGTGATTCACGTCGTGCTGCGACGTTAAATCAGGTGCTTATTGGGAAGCAACCCAACTTTACTGCTTTCTTTTATTTTTAGTTTTTTTTAAGTATTTTTTTATTGTATTATTTTTATAGTGTCATTTTTTATTTTGTAGGAGCATGGAAAATAAGCTATTGGAAGGATGCAATAGCAAGCCAGATGATTAGAACTAAGTGTTGGGTGCCCGCACAGAGAAAAATATCCAGGAGAGAAGTCTGAGAACCCCATGAGCTATTAGTGCTTCGGTCTTTGGCCTTCTAGGGAATTTCTTTTACCCTCTTATTAGTTATGGTGTGCACTAGGGACAATGCACAATTTTATGTGTGGGGTGAGGAGATTGTCTGGGTGACTTTCTATGCTATTTTAATTGTGTTAGTTTAATTGAAGAATTTTTTTTTAAAGAAAAATATTGGACTTTTCCCAACGATGAATCTCCTAGGCAGTTTTCTTGAGTGGTTTAAAGTCTGACCAAAAACACACAAAATAATAATAATAATTGAAATCCAAAAATCATGTCTTTTAATTTTTACTTTAGGTAGTAATAATCCCCCGTGGTTTTTCTTTGTGCCTCGGTTATTTTTCATGGGATGTTGTTTGAACCGAGTCATAATTTTTTTTAGTTTTAGAGTAGATTAGGATTTAAATAAAAGAAGGAAGATGAGATTTCTAGGCGCCCTTTTGAGGTGTTTGATATTAGCATATTTAGGCTCTAGCATGTGTATTACCTTCCCTATGGTTTGAAGTTGCTTATGATGCCTTGTTGAGTTAGATAGCATGTCTATTGACGCCTATGTCTCGTTTTCTTGGCTCGTGTTCACTTTGTGCTTAATGCTTAATAATTTGTGGCTCCGTGAATACTTGTAATTATTTGAGAGTCGGAATAGAATCGTCCTTAGTGAATCATGTGCCATGTGTGGTGAGATCTTCTTGTGTAGTCCATGTTATTGTAACTGAGTCTAAAACTTGCCCGTCATGTGAGTTGAAGCGAAATCCTAGGCTTTGCTTGGTTTGAAAAATGATTTTTGGCTTTCTTTGATCTTTTTCAACTTAATGCCTACCACAAATAAAATTTATCCCTATTCAATTATTTTGAGCCTATAGACTTTTATTTGGCAACCACATTACAAGCTTATATCCCTTTATTCTTGATTGTCATTGTTTTGATCCTTGTACCTCTTAAAGCACTTTAATTGTAAAATGAGTGCTAGAAGAAATTAGGAAGGAATGCGGGTGACTTATAAGTGAAACCAATGAAAGAGAAAAGGTGCACGTATTTTTCAAAAGAATACACTACTACGGGAAAAAGAGAGAAAAATTACAAAATAAAAAGAAAAAAATAAAAAAAATAAAAAAATATATATGTAGATGAATAAATTGATATATTATCTTTGCTAGTAGGTGTGAGGTGAAGTAGTGCTTAAAGAAAAAAAAGGGAAAGCTCTTGGATGACATTGTTTGTGAAATCGAAGCTGAGGTTGAAGAATTTGCGCGTAAAGAAATATGTGATGTGTTAAAGTGCTTAGGAGGGTTAACCACTATTTCAAAATATATCTTACCCTTCCCTTAGCCCATGTTACAACTATGAAAAAGTCTTACTTGATTTTAGATCGAGCAAGCCTACATTAGTGGAGGTTTACATAATGGGCAAGCCTATGGTACATTGTGCATACATGTGACTTATGTGTGAGAGTGAGAAATTTCCTTGATATATGTGAGTCCTTAAAATATATTTGAGAATTTGGTTCGAATGTATGGATTCAACTTACTCTTTTGTTCTTGTTGTGAGGGCACATGATTTCGCGAGGGGTAGGAGATGTTGTTAGATTTCTCTATGATGCTAAGTGTTCGAGCCACGAATGCATTGTGATATTGAGTCGGTTTATGAGGCTAGGATTTTTATGAGCATGTTGTCTTGGTGTTGAATAAATTTTTGAAGTATGGCATAAAGTAAAAGGAAGTGTGTGTTGAAGGCATATGCTAAAGTTCAATTGTTGCTATCAACCATAGTCATAGGTACGGTGTGCGTCAGATGTGTTAAAAGAAAATAAAGTGCTCAAGGCTAGTGTGAATTGGTGGTTGACTCGAGGACAAGCAACGTTTAAGTGTGGAGTAGTGATG